CGACGAATTGGGGTCAACTGTGTGTCTTGTTGCCATGAGATGTTTTGCAACAGAACTAGTTTAGTTATGTTTTGTTCTTTCTAGACATTTCAACAAATTTAATAGGATTATTATTGCGATGATTCTTGATGAAAAGCACCGTGTTGATCCAAGAAAACATGACTCGCATTTGTGAGCCCGTTCCATTGTTGTGTTCAGCTTTGTTTAGGGACGGAAATCTCACAACCTTTAATTACATTTCACAGTTTTTCGAGTGCAGAATTTGGCTAAATAGATCTTAGTACAGCAATCTTTATAAAAACAAGATGACAGTTCATGATTTCCCTTGGACAGAATACTGACAGGCTGCTCAGATTAAAGTGAATTCTTTAGGTGGTCTCACGGAGCACATTGATGAGAACACAAATTGACCAATCAACTTGTTTTCATGCAACTTTATCCTGTATCTCATTCTGTTTGATATAGTCACAAGCATGTATTTTTTCCAAAAGTGCCACGTTTGTAAACAATGCGGTCACATCCCAGGAGGCAATACGTACTCTATCAAAGTTCTTTCCAATGAGGCTTAAGGGCATAAAGTAAACTATTACAAGTGCAGGGGTAAAAAGTGTTTCATATACGGAGGTCATCCAGCAAACTAAGATGCATTCAAGATGATCTGCAAAGTACTAGCGATCATCAAAAAACTGTTCGTCAATAGCACCTCGCAACAGCTGAAGTAGTGATCAACGCCTACTCAATCCGTCTCTCAAAAATGATTTCTTCTGTCACCTCGATTACTCTGGTCCCAACCTGACAGCTGACCGAAACGGTCGTGACCTTTGGCATGACCCGGGGGAGCAGACGGGCTATGGAACAGCTCACTCAATCCATCTATTGTGAACATTTCCAAACCACACAGCAAACAACTGTGTCCCTTCATTTCCAAACCATACGTCAAAACATCACAATAAACCAACCGTATTCATCACCTAAGACCACCAGGCGAACAAGTGTATTAGTACAAGACAGAGGTAATCGAAAATAAGCTTTGTTCTCTACTGTTTTTCGTCTAATGTCACCATGGGAATATTCAATAATCCATGTCTAAGATAATAGAGTAAAGGGTATAAAGTGACAAGAACCTGAGCGTCCACCCGATCCAAGCATGAAATCACTTGCATAGTGTTACGCTTTACCGGAAGTTAAATCCCAAACTGCCCATTAATTACATTGATCTTTAAATAGTATAAAGCAGTATGGTAATCTCTAAAATTAGTTCCTTGAAGGACAAAAAACAACAGATTTGAGTCCGTTTCCACATATGCTTCCAGTTACAAATGACAAACTTACCGATCGATCACTTTCCTTGGAATGGACCAACAGTGGTTTTGTTAGCTTACGTCTTGTAAATTCTGGAGTAGCACCCCCTTGAAAATAAGTGGACGCGAACTTCTGAAACGTTTGAACATCATCCGTACCAGCAGCATCGGCCACTTCTACACAAGTCACTGGACGTTCCGACTGATCTGCGTTTGGTGAATGGCGAATGTTTTCCTCAACCTTTATTGATTCTCCACTGTCAGGTTGTACATCTCCAGCGTTAATCCTCTCCGTAAACGGATCGCGTACTTGGGACTGACGTGTAGTTGTGTTGACAGGCAAACCCACAGTTGGACGACTAACGCCGACTGTAATTGGATCTTGTCCAGTACCATCAACACCATACACCGGCTCATTCTCCAAGACAATATTAAAAAGATCTTCGGTCTGAATAAACAGTGGATACCGCGCAACAGGAACTATTCAATAACACATATATAGGAATACTTGGTATTAACACCATAATCGTAGAAATCACTCACTCGAATCGTACTAAAAGAGACACGATTTTATGAGAGTAATTAGGATGGTCAATGACGATTGTCAGTAGACGGTGGGAAGGGCCGAAAATCTACATATTTAACTCACTTACCCACCGCCCTGTTCTAATAACTCAAATGTTTCTTTGTTCGATATGAATGTATAAACGCTCATCTACAGCGGAACGAAAGCACACCTTCTTTTATAAATGATATATCTATAAGTTTGTTGTTCACGTGAATTAAGGCCCAGCTGAAAAGATGTTGACTAGGATGTCCCTCATTTCCTCGAGTTCTGGCAACGGTCACCGGCTCAATTGGGCATCGAGGTGTATTGGTCACCTTGGACGTTTGACCCCGTCCGAAAGGCGTATGATCCGATGAACTGGACTCCGGCTCCCAATGGACAGCGGTTTTCACATACCGCCACGTTGCCTTGCGAATCAGGCTTTGATTAGTCGGTTGTGGATTCCCCAAGAAAATTCATCTACCTTGGCTTGGGGACCCAGGTAGTATTCAGCTCACATGCAAATCGTGGGAGGTTTTTCTTCTTATAAAGATTATTGTACCATGAGTTGTTCGGCACACAGTCTGAACTCAAATGTGTGTGAACAATATAATATATATATACTTCTTCAGGAATCTCAGTGGCTCAAGGCCATTCAAATAGCACTTTACAATGCCACGCAAGTTTCTGTTGAATCATGATGTGCTCCGTCTGTCGTTTTGTAGTCTGCAATTCATTCAGCGCCATGATCCAAGAACCAGAACGAACAAAGAGAACGGTTCCCACCGTTGATATTGTAATAGTCTAAAGGCACAACAGATTGTGAATAAGTCCAAAGCCCAATAAACAACCATCATCTATTACATATATAAGCCATTGTAGCTCAACTGCTACACGGAATTGTTATATTCCTCTTTATCTTTCGGACTACTTCGCAAATTCAGAGCATGCTAGGCCTTTGGCACAGCTCCGTATTTCTTCATTTTCTCTCGAACGCATATGAAATTTGGTATGCTTATGACCCGTCCCATCAAATTTTTGCTGCTATACAGCTTTGCATTTTGATTTAGCTAAATAGATTTTTCATAAGAGCAAGAACAAGTATCGTCACAGGACGGGTTGAATTCAACTGTTTCACGTTATCTCTTCAGCTGTGTACAAATATTCACGTGAAAGTTCGATCAGGACAATGACAAATCTTTAAACATCAAAAACACTCGACTAGGCAAAATCAGTGCAAAGGTCGAAGGTCACCAATGGCAGTCGGGTTGAACAGAGCGATAGGGTGGAAGAACATGTTCATCGACCTGGATCAAGGTAACAGCCCTACCATGGGAGGGTTGGGCTGGCCACAAAGTCTCATTGTTTGCAGAGGTCTGGTTTGTGACGCCGAATGGCTACGGCATCAGCAAGCCGAAACAACCGCCCCGTTTTCTGTTGGTTTAACACCCGGAATGCTTGCTTTGGATCGATGCAACATTTACAGTCCAATATGTGGCGGGTAATAGAACTGGAGGGGATCTTCGAGCCATATCGACGGACTTTGGCACACAAACAAAGGACAAATAGAGGGTCCCATGGACCTCTACTGCATTGATGGATGCCCGCAAAACCAATTCTCTGGATGCTCAATTTGACAAGGCGAGCAAGCTTGTGAGGTAATCAAGGAATTCGGTGGCACTGATTCATAATCAACAACGTTGTCTTGAACGACAAGTAGAACACTTCGATGCTCAATTCAACTGGAACCCATCGACACTAGACCTCTCACTTTCTGTTTCGAATGGGCAAATACTGCCAGTTGATATCAGTCCTCCATCTGGAACGGAAGATTCTAAGGGAATAAGTCATTTCAAAATGTATAATGCCTCTCGCCCATATGGTCTGACCCCACTGGCTTTTAAGGATGGGGGGCTGACTTGATTTTGGATTTGACAAAACTCCAGGGTTCAGCATGGGAGAGTGAACAAGCCTCAACTGAATAGGGTGAGTCGGTCAGCTTACCGAGGAATTAGTTTGATCAATATTGCACCTCAACTTCTTGGTGCCATTATACTCCGTCGATTATCTGCTGCGGTGGGTGGTAACATCACCGAATTATCGCCCCGGAGGTCATGAGTTCGAATCCCATCACCACCGCCTAACCTTCCCCATTATGTATGGCACCATTTCGATTGGCACCTTCCCCCTTCCTGAGATTTGTATCATTGTGTATTCAGTAACAGGAAGTAAAAATGAAAGAAAATAAAAAATCCTGCAACCGATACTTACTGATTGTACGATCTATGAAAATGAGATATGCACAGTTTCGCGGAAACTCACCATAAACGAGACATCCAGTGGCTCACAGTGACGACATTTGCGAGTCGATTCCACAGTGGCACGCGTGTCTCCTTCATTCGGACTAACCGGGTTGTCTTGAAATTCGGATGTGCTCTCCGTTACCGTAAACTGGGAGGCCATTAAACGAGTGTCAAAAACAAAACAATCATCCGAGTATTTCCTAATATGAATTACGAATGTTACATGGAATATTATGCACAAAAGCTCGTAGCAAGAATCTCTCCAGACGGAGGCTGGTAGACCGGCACTCACTTGTTCTGTTTCCACGTGATCACAAATTATTCGAATGCTATCACGAACATGAGCATTAGAAAATAATGATTGCACGTCCAGCCCAGTCATGTATTTCTTAGCAATGTTCAGTTGGTTTAATTGTTTCGCTATGTCAAAAGCATTTTCCACGGTGTAGAATCTTTGGAGAAGATTCTGTTATGTGGATTGCATATTGGAAATCCGTCCTAACGATCGAATGACGCGCGAATCCCGAAGTCAACAGTAGATGAGATTGTCTTGAAATGCGGTACTATTATAGATAACGAATGGTTGATATAAAATACGTAAGTAAGGCAACTCGGGGAGTGTTTGCACTGAGCAAATGATAGCTTGTATTCATCAAAATAGTTGAGATTTACAATTAGAACGTCATACCAAAGGCTGTCAAAGCATTCAATTAAACGACTGCGTGCAGTTCAGTCAAAGTCAACAGTCAGAATGCTTTAGGTGGCAAGTCCATGTGCACAAGTTTCAATGGCTTTCAGCCAATCAAATGTACAGGGTCAAAACACCAATCACGTGAGGGACGGGAACTTCGTGGGTGTGCATGTGTGTGTCGATAGGTGGATACCTAACAGGTTACGTATATTGAGGGCGTGGAGTGGTGGGGCGAAGGTGACGGGTGATAAAGCTTACTGGTCTGAGAACGCTGACATGCGGATCAATCGAAACACTAGGTCAACGCAGGCGGAGAAAGTACAGTAAGAAAAGGGAAGAAGTGACAAATCAAGAGATTATGATGGTTGGAGAAAGGTACGTGCGTTTTCGAGTATGATTAGGGAAAGCTTGTTCAGAGAGCGAAACGGATTCAGCACACGGTATATTTGACCATCGAATTCGTAACTGGCTGTACTACGCCGACAGACCACTTTTCCAACTGTTGTTGTGAGCTGATGATAGATTTCTCCGGTTTGGGTGGGAAACGGGACTCAATCATGTCATGTTACAATGACTTCTGCAACCTTCGTCTCAACGAGTCTCCTATCTTACAGAATGTCATTCAGAAAGTTTGTGAACTTGATAAGACACACTAGATTCAATAAATTCCACGAAGTTTTAACCTGAACCATCGTGTGACGATCCAAAAAACATGGAGCTAAAAATCGCTGTTGAAGTTCAGTTCCTTCTGAACGATCATTTCATCGATGAGAACACAGCTCGAAAACTCAAGATACTGTTACGTTCCCAGATCGCCCAGAGCGAGTTTCAGTTTCAGTTTGTACAGCCATTAACCATGCACTATCGTGCGCCGGTTTTGGTTGCTGCCTTTTGGCTGCCCAGAGCGAGAAGAAGAACAAAGACCGTTTGACTGAACATTGCTAAGAAATACATGACTGGGCTGGACGTGCAATCATTATTTTCTAATGCTCGTGTCCGTGAAATTATTTGAATAATTTGTGATCACATGGAAACAGAACAAGTGAGTGCCGGTCTATCTGCCTCTGTTTTGGAACGACTCTTGCTACTGTGTACCACAAAAGTCTCATTTACATTCCAAGGAAAAGCACATGGACAAATTGGTGACGTGGCCGTGGGTCGCCCTTTGGGACCAGTACTGGTGGATTTATTCATGGCACACTTGGAATCCCAAGCTCACAATTTGTTGAAACGAGCTACGTTAAACAGAAGATATGTCGATGATATTTTCATTACTACGGACAATGAGAAACAGGCCAAGAACATCCTCAAAGGCCTCAATTTACTATATCTGAACATGCGATTCAGCATGGAAATTTAACTGAAAAATACCCTAGATTTCCTTGACATAAGTATCGTTCGAAAGCCAGATGGAACTATTTCACGAACAGTCTCTTTTAAAGCAACCTGTGCAGGTCAGTACATGCACTCTGGAAATTGTGTGCCAATTGCATATAAACGTGGTCTGGTTCATGCCCTATTCTATAGAGACCGTCGAGTCTACACTGACGATACAATATCAGATGAGATGAGCTTATGGCGTAACACTTTAACAAGAAGTGGTTATCCCTAGGAATTTGTTGATAGGTGCAGTAGACTGAAGATTGAAAAGTTCATTGTTGTGTCAATGTCTAGATGGGAGGTCACGATTTGTCTTTCATTCAAAAGTGATGATGTAAGTAATCTATCCATCAACGGTTATGATTAATTAACAACCGGACTTACTCAGCTGGGTCCATGGATTCGCACTGCTGATAAGACCCATACCGCCTAACCTCATTACTTTGGCGTCTTAATGTTGTAACAAGGTAATGAACAATAGCGACCATTTTCATG